ACTACATTTAATTTTAGTAATTGCAAAAAAACAAAAGGATCATTTATTTGGGATGTCTGTTAGCCAGTTGACTATTGGTCGCTGCCTACATTAGTTTTATGAGGTTTTTTTTTTTTTTAAGCCCTGGAAACTTTTAGGTAATTTATTTTGCCAGCAACACATTCATGGTTTTCATCAGTTTCACTTAATATGCACCATGTCATGTCTTGCATTATACACCCGATTTCATTCCAGTTCTTTGCAGCTCGATATTATTTTTTAAAATATGAAGTACAACTTTGCCAGGATTTTACATTTAAGCAATAAAATGAACCTTTGCTCACAAAGAGACATTACAACACCAGACAATCTGTAACCCTTGCTAAGCTGGAACAACTATACTTCAGCCTGATTTCCCCATACACACTGGGAAAAGAAAAGCAGTCGTTTGTCATGAATCTACCTGCAGACAATTGTAGCTATTGTCTATGTTCGGTAACTTCCCCTAAAGATTGATGGAAAGATTGCATGTCCTTGGATTCATATTGGAATATAAACAGTAATTATTAAAATAATGTGTTTCCATGTTTTTCCATAAGAATTCAGAGGTGATGCCATGTAATAATGTATGACTGTCAAGCAGTGTCACGTCAGAAAGTAAAGGATGTTATATGAACAAATGATGAGTAGAACTGGGATCCTAAAGGTGTCTACGGAACCTGGAGAGTTAATAAGCAAGGCATACATTATATCCAAAGTTCCTATCACAGAATCTGGCACCTCTAGTATACGACTCACAGTCTCTGTACGCCGTAATTGTATGAGGAAGCCATGTGAAGCCTTAGCATGGAACAAACCCTTCTTTGAAAAATCCCACCATTAAATAAAATATGGAAAATCACTTATAACTTTTCTTAACCCTTTCATCATGCGATGCTCAAATGTTATTATTGCACATCAATAACAAAAGCTGGGTTTGTTTATTTTGTACATATTATTTGTTGCACAGTAACCTGTATACAAACAAGTTAAATAGTTGGATTATATGTTACACACTTTTAAGACAGTGGTAGTGTCTAGCTTGTTTGAACACTGGAAGTCACAGAAGGCATTCACAAATGAAAATTCCTGTTACTTTGAAGTGCAGTTGAAGATAATGAAAATCATCTATCTACACAGGGCTGTGAAATGATAGGGCCCTTTATACAACTTAAGGATTCTGTGTCAGCTCACAGGGTCCACTCCCAATCCACCCCACAGGAGCGAATGCAGTGTGTGTGTAAGAGATACAGTCAGTGTGTATAGTGGATGCAGTGTGTGCATGTAAAGGATGTATAGTGCGTATAGTGGATGCAGTGTGTGAGTATATAGTGGACATGTTGTGTAAGTGTATAGTGGGTGAGTTGTGTGTGAAATGGATACAGTGTATGTGTATAGTGGATGCAGTGTGTGTAGTAGATGTTGTGTGTGTGTAAGGTAGGCAGTGTATGTGTATAGTGGATGCAGTGTTTGTGTGTAGTAGATGTTTTGTGTGTGTAAGGGAGGCAGTGTACACGTATAGTAGATGCAGTGTGTGTAGGTGTAGTAGATGTTGTGTGTGTGTGTAATGGATGCAGTGTATGTGTATAGGGGATGCAGTGTGTGTATTTGTAGTAGATGTTGTGTGTGTGTAAGGGAGGCAGTGTGTGTGTAGTGCATATAGTGTGTGATAGGGGCTGTGTACTGGGGGTGAACGTGGAGAAGTTTATATTTTTCATCATTATTTATTTACAGCTTTATTTGAGGTTTCCCCCATCCCTGTCTCTTATCTGTGGCCAGGGAGGGGGACACTACATTCCCTATGGTCTGGTGCTGCTGTAGAGGCTCCCAGCTTCCATCTCAGCTGTATGTACAGGCAGCAGGGTCTTTTCAAGAGCCCCAGGACTATGTGGCATGGTAATCTGTGGCAACACTCTAACAGCTGAAAGGACCCAGCAATGAGGAAAGCAGAGATTCTCCCATGCACCCCTTTACTACAGAAGCTTGCAATGGCTGGGGGACCCATGGCTGTAAATATATAAACTCACTATATATATATATATATATATATATATATATATATATATATATATATATATTAGAAATATAAGGCAGGTGCCCACCCTTACAGCTGTATCAGTTGTAAAGAGTGCCCATTATCATGAAAATTTAAATAAAAGGGGTAAAGACAAAAAATTTTTTTTTAAAGCCAGCATATCAGTCCAAAGCATAGAACAATATTCGGGCTATTCCCACAGAGGGCATGTTAAAGTCCTGGGCCCACTTATAGTCCAATTGTTAAGCAAAGAGGTGTGCTGGGAAAGACCCACTGTTATTGGAGAGGATAAAAGCAAGATCTTGCGATGGACAAACCACTTTGCTTGGTGATGGACACCTATACAAAGTAGGGTGCTGGGCTCTCTGCAGAATCACAATATTGTGTATGTTCTCTATCAATAACAAAGAACTCTTGGTAAGACCAGCATTAGTCACTGCCCTCTTGTAAGAACCTTCATTTTGATTGAGAAAATTGGCTTTGACTGTGGCAAACTCACCCAGAAGTCGTGGAAGAAGTAGAGACATTTGGTTATGAGGGTCTCAGGAGCACATGGTGTGGACATCTTGGTAAACCTGTGTCACATTCTAGCTCTTCTTTGCCTACAGCAGGATTCCATGGGCAGGTGAGGCAGCTTTAGATTATTCTACGTATGCTGTAAAACATACTCTGTAGGGGGAAGGAGACGGGGGTGAAGTTAGATACTCTAAGTTAGGACTGAGCAAATAATAGTTTTCAGTTGTTACAGAACTTCAGTTTCCATGATGCTTTGCCATTCCAAAGGCTATGGAAGCATCTTGGAAGTTGCCGTTCTATCATTCCAGCTTCTGGGGATCTACCATTTGCTCAGCCCTTCTCTAAGCACTCTGGGGACTTCAGGTCAAGAGGATGGCTACTTCTCCCATCATAATCAAGTGGGTCACAGGTTTGACAAGATGCAAAACCTGAGGTGTCTCCTGAAAATCTTGTATACTGCTCTTTGTAATTCACTAAATAAAGTCAGACTATTTTACACCATATAAGAAATTATAAAGAGCCTTAGTAAAGTGACCGATCAGTATGGTTGTCAGACTCTGTCCACATGCTTACATTTTCTTTTAAATGTATGTTAAAGAGAATCTGTTGTGCACATAACAACTTAGCATCTTTTGAAAGAGCATCAAATTTAGTCTATATATCGTGTAAGCAGATTTACTAGCAAATGTATAGATTGAGAGAAAAAAACTGTTTCAAATAGTTCTTTCTCGCTGAAGAATTGTCTCAAAAGGGAGAGCAGAAAAGATCTTCCACAGGTGGTCCTTCTGCTCTCCAGACTTAGAATGGAAACGCCATAGCCGACACTGATAGCACTGGCTAGGAAGTATAGGAGTGGAGTGATGCCAGCATGTTTGGAACAAAGCCAGAATGTCCACGAGCAAGGTAAATCACAGAAGACTTTTTAGTAGATATACCCCCAACGAAAACATGCATGCATTTAATTACATATTTTTTTAATTGGGGCTTTATCCAAAAAAAGTTTGCAAAAGTTGCAGATCTCTTGTCTGCTACCTTTGCAAGCCCTCCTATTCTAACCTTGCCCAGACTTTCTGTGGCTGTGACAGAGTTCTCAAAGCAGCTCAATGAGAAGTCTTTGCGAGGCACGTGCTCTGACCAATTGCTCTTGAGTTTAGCTCCAGTGAGCTAACCAAACCAGGGACCACTTGTCTGACAGACATAACAAGGTTCATTTATAAAAATGCAATTTTCTACTGAAAGAGTAAAAAATAAATACTACACGTTGGCTTTAAAGATTTAGCAGCAGCTGATATTATATTGCAGTGTGGTTTTGGAACCATAAATCCTGTTTTTTTTTTTTTGTTAAACCCCTTTTTGTTTTGGTGTAGAAAACAAGCTGAGCTAGAATACAAAGTGGAACATTTTAATAAATCATAACAGATTTTTCAATCTCCTTTAATAAGACACTTTTCTATATCTCCTTCATACAGTAGTTTCATTCTATTTTCTCGCCTTTACATACAACGTTCAATGACAGAAAAGAGCCCAAGATTATATCATGGACAAGCAAGAAGCCAAGATGGAGGCACTTAATTCCACAAATGGAGTAAATGTGGCACTGCGGATAACAACATTTAACATTATTTTTCAGAACTTAAAATTAAACATTTATATTTTCAAACATAGTGGATAAGTAAATATAACATTATAAACCCTGAAAGTGAAACTTCCCTTTAATATTGCGCCTTACACTATTTTCTCATTTAGGTTGGCGCTGACCTTTACCTCTGCTCCCTAATCGTGTAATAGTTACCCATACTCCTTTTCAAAAGCCAATCTCCCCCCAATGTTACAAACTCAGTGGCAGACAATAGGAATGTTTAGTGGATTAGTCTGACATCTTTATATAACATGAAAGAAGGATTCCGCGATTCTTTGTGGTTATACTCAGTGATGCTTAGTGCTGTACAATTTTTAATTTCAAGGGGAGAGGGTGTGTAAAATATGCATAGCATATTTTATTTAATTTTGCATGTTCCTGCTCATGGCACATAAATTAATTAGATACAATAACGCTGCATAACCCAGGCCAAGCATTTCCCCAGATGAACTGGATTTTTCCGGCAGGGTAAAAAACATTTATACATAATCCACAATTCTGTCTCTGCCAGCATTCTTTGGCTGCAAGATTATAGCTTACCTACCTTCAAGCTGAAGGGCCTATTTGTCTGCTTTAAGTGAAATCGCTCAATTCTCAAAAGTCACTGGAGGACTTTGGTAAGGGGGGAGGGTTGGGATAGGCCACTCCAAATAAGTTCCATTAATCAAAAGGCACAGTCTAATGTAACTAATATTTTACAATTAGAGAAGACAGGATGGGACTAAAAGCCATCTATCTCTCTTACACCACATGATCATCGATTCATAATCAGAAGACTGAGAGTCGCACAAAGATGCATTTACAGGGTTGGGGGGAGGGGGGTATTGGTCTGAGCTGGAGATAATGAACACGATGAGAAGGAGCGGCGCTGAGGGCTGTGGAAAGATGACAGATTGGTTCAGTGGTGACGGATGACATGAAGATGAGTACTGATACCTGACAGGCAAGCGAATGATGACTGCAGTTCTTTTTCAGCATTATGATCCTCAATTATCTTGGTAAGGACTAAAAAGAGAGAGTATTGGCGCAGCCCAATCGTTTTACTCCTAACCTTGCATAACGCAGGACCGTGTCCAGCCTGCCACTTTCCTTTTTCACAAATTTATCAGCACTTTGTAGAAACTGGAGTTTTCATTGTTACTAATCACGGGGAGAGAAGGGAAATGGGAGCAGTATAAAAATACGCTGTACGTCCATCTGTTTTGCAATAAAATTCCTAATCTTAAGGGAGTATGTGCGAAGGTCTGCGAGGGAGGGGGAGGTATTTTCTGGGGTGTGTGTTTTTTCTTTCTTTCTTTTTTTTTTTTTTAATTCTTTTTTTCTTTTTAGTCCTATTACCACCTCTAGGAAAAAGGATTCTTGCCAAGACAAATCCACTCTTTGAATGACCTCATTTTGGAGCCTTTTCTATTCTTCCATGAGTAGGAATTAAGGTTCGGAAATGAGTCAGGCTGCTTAATGATTTGGTTGTAAGAATGAATTTTAGGATAGAGTAAGTCAACATTTAACATGTTTTACTAGACCGCAGGAAGTGCTTAAATGGGGCAGATCCTGTGCACAAGAATAATGACCTTTTCTTATAAAACAGTTGGCTTTTTTACTGCATAGAAACCACAAAATGAATATTCCCCAGCTAGCTTTGATTTCTCTTAACCCTGTGTATACAAACGTGAAAGGCTTTAGGGCCTTCTGGCGAGCAAGGGGTTAAGGGAAGAAACACATTTTCACTATTTATTACCTTAACTGAGCAAATAGGTACAGCTAATAGTGAAGATTAGCATAAACTGAGGATGGCAAAGCAAATATTTGGTCCCAATGAGTCACAGAACATTTGCTTCTATTTAATTTTTCTATTTTGCCGATCCCCGAACTGCTATAGTGTTTAGACAATGGGCTGCAGCATCGAAAATGTTAAACCACATCCTTTGCTCAGCCTAACGTACAGAAATCATAGTACATACTATGACGTTTAGCTTCAGCACCAGAATGCCAAATGAGATGATATACAATGATGTTAAAATCTGGGTATAAAACCAGCAGTTCTAGTAATATTCAATAAAGTAATCAATTGATACAGCAGTAGAGTTACTAGAAAATCAGTTAGCAAAAAGTTCACTGTGAGAAAGGTGTGAGAAGTTAGAACAGAGTACATTTATGTTCTTTTGTGCATTGACCTATTTGCCTAGTAACTGTGCCAGTAAATGCCAACAGCATTTCCCAAAAAAATTCATGACACCCCATGGGAGTGTATCAGATAGTTAGCTGTAAAGATAGTCATGGGTGAGAACAATATTCTGTCTCAGCTACTTGCTATAGCACCCGTTCAAAGAGTTAAATATAACCTGTGAGCGCTCGCCACTCAAATATTGTGTCATTTTATATGTCAAAACAGGTTGCACTTTAAAACTGATAGATAATTTTTGCAGAAAATTGTGAAAGAGTCCAGTGGACACAGTCCTAAATTTTCAATTTTTACTAAATGATTTTGCTTCTAATAGAGTAAGATCCTTTATCTGTGGGTACATGTAAAAAAACATGAAAAAGAACCAATGGTGCAATATTTCTTAGAAAGTGAAAACAGACAACAATTTTTTTTTTAAATGCACACTCACATGATATAGAGCTTCAAACAAACTCGCAGAGTGATGTAATCCACAATAATGAATATAAGTGTTGTGTGTATTACTCCAGTGATTTTCAGTAATGGATATGAAATAACAAAAGGTAAGACACCATAGTTTGATATTGTAGAGTAATGTATATATATATATATATATAAAGGATATACACTCGCAAAGGAGGAGATTATGGCTCAAGCTCAAGGTATCAAGCCATGTCAGTACAATCCCCACTACAAGGTTGTATATTGGTAAAAAGGGAAGAAAAAAACCACAATATAGCGATCACTGTAATGAGAAACATTCAAAGATGTTGAAGCCGGACTCACATTTATTTGAGCAGCTGAAGCGCTCAATGTTATCAGCATAAGTGGTGTAATCCCCACCAGATTTCTGATGAAAATGATTTACAAGGAGTGCCAGGGATAAAAATACAGGTAATAAAATAAAAACATGTATAGCAGGTCCTATGTAAGTTACAACCAAAGCAACTTTATTGTTATAATATTAAAAACAAAAATAAAATAATAACAATAATAACGTGTTTCGCCCTTTCTCAGTGGCTTTATCCAGTGAATTACAGAAGTACTTGACATACAAGGTTATATAGGGGAAGCACAAATTGAAGTTGGCGGCAAAATGACATCATGGTCACATGACAGGGATACAATTATACACACACATTGAGCAAATATATATATATATAAACAAATATATATATATATATATATTTAACCACAATCAATGTAAAAAGCTAGTAAATATAACAAGGAATCGTACAAGTTCAGAGTGTATTAAAAGACTGTTAGATGCAATTATAAAAGGGATTTGAGTCATGTGACGCAGATTGGAAGGATGGGTCACTTAAATTTTCTAAGTGGGCTTGTAGTTCAAAGCTGGCAGCATGAGTGGGGAAAAATATAACCGGGGAGACACTTGGTGCTAAAATTTAGGACTAGAATGCCTCAAAGGTGGAAATGGAATGTACTAATTCACCTCGATAGTAAAAGGTTGAGATAGCACAGTGTGACGAACAACGGCGGCCATGTTAAAAGAAGGCAAAGAAGGGGAAAAAAACTGTCTAATAGAGTCCATTTAACACTAAAACAAAAGACAAAGGGCAGATATATACCAAAAATTGGGTAAAACCTAGCTCATTCGAGCACTAAAAAAAAACAGCAATGGAAAGAGACTACTACCACTAATAAAACCCCACATTAAAATGTTTTTATTAATTCTATAAACCAGATAAAGAACATTTGGTGGGATCAATTAATATTAAGTCATAGCCACATTAATAATGGCTAGAAGAGAAAGGGAATGTGGTAGACAATGGTAATTAGACAGCAGGTATCAGCAATCTGGATATTGCTGGATACTGCATTGAGAATTTGGAGGAGGGTGGACGTAGACACCTTTACTTGCATCCAAGTAAGGTATTAAAGGAACAATTTACCTCCATAACAACTTCAGCTCAATGAAGTTGTGAATTTGGCACGAGTGTCTTGATGATGTCTTACATTCATGATCTAGGATGAAAGGAGGAAGCGGTGTCGGGCACAGGGGACCAACTTCAAGGTTAAACCATTAGAAAACAGTTATAACCCCAGAAGGAAAGAGGGTTCCCATACACCTGTCACCATAACAACTATATTGAGCTTAAGTTATCATAGGAGGAGTTCCTTTAATCAATATATTTGCAAATTTAGCTTAATGAAGCCGTTTTGGTGTATAGATCATGCCACTGCAGTCTCACTGCTCAATCCTCTGCCATTTAGGAGTTAAATCCCTTTGTTTATGAACCCTAGTCACTCCTCCCTGCATGTGACTTACACAGCCTTCCTAAACACTTCCTGTACAGAGTCATCTAATGTTTATACTTCCATTATTGAACATTCTGTTTAATTTAGAAATTATCTCCTGCTCTGTTAAAAGCCTTATAGATCCCGCAGGAGCTTCCTGTGGTAGTTAAAGTTAAATATGCAGAGCAGGAGAAAGAAACTTCTAAAGCAGGTTAACATGAAACCAAATTTTCATGCAGACTGTATCATTCACAGCCAGGGGAGGTGTTTTAACTCCAAATGGCAGTGAATTGAGCAGTGAGACTTCAGGGGCATGATCTACTCACTAAAACGGCTTCATTAAGCTAAAGTTGTTTTGATGGCTATTGTGTCCCTTTAGGTTGTCTTTCTCATGCACATCAATTGTGGGAACAGGGTCACTTTAAACTTCTCAGACCCCCTTTCTAATACTTTCTTACAAACATAAAGAACTGCACTCAATCCCATCAATCTGAGCCAGGGTTCAACCAAACGAGGACCAAGCATCAGGTTCCAATGGCAATCGCATAAATGTAAAGATAGTTCAGGCACTCCAAGATTCAGAAATGTCAAATTTATTGAAGCCCAAAGTAACACAATGTTTCGACCTTGTTGTCGAAATGTTGTGTTACTTTGGGCTTCAATAAATTTGACATTTCTGAATCTTGGAGTGCCTGAACCATCTTTACATTTTATCCCCTTTCTAATAATATCATGTATCAATGGATATTCAAACCTGGGACTATGTGTTTGAGAGCATACCTTTTTTTTCTAATGGCCCCATGGATCCCTTGTATGTTTGGCTTGTTCTTTCCATCTGTCTCTGTGACCTTTATTTGCAATGTGCAACACCTGTTTTACCACCTGCAGGCTTTAACATACAGGGTAATTGTGTCACTATTTAATCTTACCTGTCTGTGAATTCAGTGCTGAAACACTGATACTTGACACATATTGGTTGTGATGCTAAGTGCCAACTAGATTCTAAGGTTTAAATTTGATCCTTTGTGAACTTTGATGGAATTGTACATTCTAATTTTGAGGGGGGGTTTCAGCACATCCTGACTATTGGCCTATACTCGGATCTCTCCTTTTAGTACTACACCCTTCCCCATGCTTGAAAACAATATTGAGAATAGTGTACACATTTTCAAAACCAAGGGACAGAATATTCACCCCTCCAAATTTTGAGTTGTTCCTTTCTTCTGATACCCAAATAGCCCTGCAACAGTAGCTAAGGCTCAATAATTACATCTGTTGACTTTTTTAAAAACAAAATAAAAATAAAAAAAGTGAACATGAAAATGCCATAATTTCTAGTAAATGGATTAATTAATGATTTACTTTGAAAAGCATGTTCTGGAAATGATGGGCAGATCATGTCAAACTAATTCACGTTTTATATGAAAAGATGTTTAAAAATACCTCCCAATTGATGTGTTTTGATTAGAGTTTACTAAATATTTTGGTGTTATTTCCTGTGGGTTACTGTGTAAATAAAGCTCTGCTGGGCATCTATTTGTACTGGTTGCAAAACATAAATATAGTGTATGAGATCCGATTGTATCGAAACATTAAA